GTCCAGAAGCCGGCGACTGATCTGCCTCGCCCGGGAAGAGCGCAATGATGGTGCCAACTTGGGCCAGTGAAGCAATGTCCTCCACAACTAGACTGAGGAACAAAACGACAGCAACTTGTCTGTTCCCCTTCCCCCAATTCCCCAATAAAAATCTTAAAAAAAAAGATACCACCACCCCCATGCTCATTGCAGCATTATTTCCAATAGTCAAGATATGGAAGCAACTTGATGGATGAATGGATCAAGTGGATGTGATACACACACACACAATGGAATATTACTTGGCCATTAAAAAATGAAACATTGCTATTTGCAGCATGGGTGGATCTTGAGGACATTATGCTAAGGGAGTAAGAGAGACAAAGACAAATACTATATGATCTCACTTATATGTGGAATCGTAAGAAATACCCCCAAAAAGGAGCTCATAGATACAGAGAAGATTGGTGAGATTGCTGGTTGCCAGAGGTGGGTGGTGGGGAGTGGGGCAAATTTGTGAAGAGGGTCAAAAGTTACCAATCTTAGTTATAAGACAAATATGTCATAGCAATGTAATATACAACATGGTGACTATAGTTAACAAATATTGCATATTTGAAAGTTGCCAAGAGAGTAGATCCTAAAAGTTCTCATCACAAGAAAAAACATTGTATAACTGTAAGATGATGGATGTTAACTAGATTTATTGTGATCATTTCACAGTATATACAAATATCGAATCATTACAACTTAATCCTGAAACTAATATAATGTCAATTATATCTCAATTTAAAAAGAGGTGTGTCCTAGAGGCAGATGACTGGCTCAGGGATATCTCGGGGCCTCAGCTTCCTCGGCTGTAAAAATAATAATAGAACTGACTGTCTTAGTCTGTTTGGACTGCTGCTGCTACAAAGTGCCATCAATTGGCTGGCTTATAAACAACGGCAACGTATTGCTCACAGTTCTGGAGGCTGGAAATCCAAGGTCAAGGCACCAGCACATTCGGTGTCTGGTAAGGACCACCATCTTGCATCCTCACGTGATGGCAGGGGGCGGGAGCTCTCTAGGGTCTAATCCCATCGTGAAGGCTCCACCCCATGACCTAATCACCTCCCAAAGGCCCCGCCTCCTAATACCATTTCACTCGGGCTTAAATTTCAACATAGGAATTTGGGGAGACACAGACATTCAGACCATAGCACTAACGCAGCAGAGTTGTTTTGAGGGTACTACAAGATGACACCTGATAACACTTAGAACACGGTCTGCAGGAGGGAAACGCTCAATGAATTTCAGCCATTATCCTATTATCATCAACAAGGAAAGGGCGATTTGAGGGTAAGGCTGGGAATACAGGACACACTGAGCCGTAATACACAGTCTACGACCCTCTGGCCTATTTCTCCCAAGGAGATTCTATGTAGCGGGGGACCTATGAGGTCTCCTGATTTTGGATCATTGGGAAGGTTATCAAGTCCTTACAGGGGTCCTTGCTCTAAGCAAGCCCATGTTATTTAATGTCACTAAAGGGAAAGGACAGGTAGCAGTCTCTGACCTTTTCAAACATCTAAATGTGGCAGAGTGACATTTGATTTATTTAATATGCAAGTCCCACTTGACAAAAGCGAAGATTAGAATTAGGCTCTTGTGCTTCCTCATCTAAAATGTAGCACAGGTGTCCTCAGTATCACAAAGGTATACCCTCCATAAAAACTTAATATATATCCAGGTTAAAATGGATATTACAAGGTTATATTTACTGCAAGTAAAACGGTACCACAAGCTAGCTCAAAAGTGATACATTCCCCCTTACTTAAGGTAAAATTTTCCAAATTACAGAATTTCTTAGAAATACAGTGTATTAAAGTAAGGCATTTCAGTTATGCATCCGCCATCACAGAAATAATACATTTATTGCTGCAGTGGAGGTGAAGCCGCCATCCCTTAATTCAATTCCATGCCATCTGCGTAAGTCGTAAAGCACCTACTTCACGCTGTGTACGCTTTTGTTTTGAAGAGTAAGCTGACAGCTCTTTCTGCCCAGTAGTTAACCTGGGGCCACACATCACATAGCAAGTATGTGAGCTTCGTTTTGTAGAATTGTACCAGGTGCTGGAGCGGACGTTCAAGTTCCTAAGACAGGTTTCTTTTGGGGATCCCCATATCTACTTGTGTCGGGGGATGAAGCATGAACACGTGTGCTATGTTACGTTCATAATGAGCTTTTGCTCAATGCCTTAACATACAAAATGCCACATGTGAAGGGGGCCACAGAAACTATAAATACTGAGTTGTGTAACAAGAATTGTGAGAAGAGAGAAGACTTCATAATAACAGTTGAATGGAGTCCCGAAGGACGAGTAAAGGTTATCATTTTGGAGCTCTGAGCATCATTTAAACACTGCTGCTCCTTCTACACTTAGGATAAGTTAACGTGGTTAGTTCCTGCGGCCCTTCCCATGGCTGGGTATGGAATATTAAAGGATGCTTTTGGCCACACGTAACGGAATCCCTGCTGGGACTCACAGCCTCAAGTGCAAGGTTGGCTACGTGCCTGGTCACTTTTACCTCCCTGGACGCTCTTTCTTTCCATGCTCAATTTCAATTTCATCCGAATAGGACTGATTCCTTTTATCCCCATCAGAGGGCTCCAATGGTAGTTGCTGTCTCAGCTTTACGATCCCTGTTGATGGCCAGGTGGGGCACAACGGGGTTCCCACAACAGTGGAAAAGAAAGTTTCTCTTTATTCTGATTAGGCCTATCGCACTAGGCCTGTGTCTTGCCACCCCCTCCCCTTTCACATGCCCAGTAGAGTGCCTTGTGCTAAGATGAATCCAGACAAATCATTTAAACTGCAGTGCCCACTAGAGATGGAGTTCGCTATCAATTTAAGACCCCCACTCTTAGTCATCGTTTCGTTAAGGTGTTTGTCTTTCACCCAGGCCCCTCTCTTAGGCCGGGGTTTCAAATGTGGAGACAGTGGCTAGTGTAGTGGCAGACGGCCGGACTGGGGTCTCCTTTTCTGTGCTGACTCTCTGCATTAGCTCCGAGATTTGGGACAATCACCTCTGGTCTGTAAGCCTCACTTTCCTCACATTATCTTAAAGGTTCCTTTTAGGCCAGAATTCTAAGTTGTATGTGGCCCATTTCTCTCAGGTTAGGATGGACTGGGTCATGCCATGTTGTAGGTTGAGAAGTTTAAAGCTAGGAGAAACAATACAGTTTGAAAGCCTACTGCAAACTAGCTTTGATATAAAGAACCAAGTAAAGTGATTTGGCCTGAAGATGGATCTCAACACTGACTTGCCATGTTGCTTTCCTGCAGGACGAAGCATGCTTCTAATTCCTTCTTGAATTCATTTTACCCTTGTGGAGACCCACTCAGAGCCCCAGAGTTGGCACAAAGACTGTTTTCAGCTGAAGACATTTGAGATTTGACAGATGCAGAAAAAAAGCCTTCTCGGAGCTTCCCTTATCTGACTAAAAGCCGCAACTTCTGGGAAATGGAGTTGCTATAAATCCCCTCTCTGGGGAAGTTTTATGGTCCTGAAGGAGATGGAAAAACCACTCACACCTGTACAGATAAACATTTTCACAAACTTGCTTATCTCCTATCTGTCCTCCTAAAAACCCATTTGTCTTTCTTAAATAAACCTATTTGTTGTTCTCAGAGGAGCTGTTTCTTCCTACTCCCTTTTCCCTACTAAGCTGGATCTATAAACCTTGAACTTTAACCATTTAAGGAGCCAGTTACTTCCGTTGTTGGCCCCTGCTATGCATATGAAATAAACCCTTTTCTCCTGTTAAGCTGTCTTTGCCAGTTTAATTCACAGGCTGCCGGCAATAAACTTAAAAGGGTAGGGGAAAAGGGTTTTTTCTGCCCATACACCCTCTAAGCAAGTGTGGGCATCTCGTTTATATGGAAACAAGAAACAGCTTTGCCCCCAAACCTGCGGACATCGGAAGGGCCTGTCCTCCTCTTCATTCATTCACCCAACATTACATTTTAACCTTCGACCTAGGCAACGGAACCAGACACATTAAAAGGTAATGCCAGAGAAATCGTGAGTTGGAAGAAGACTAAAAATACGGCAGAAATAGAAACACAGGAAGGAAGAAGAGTATAGGAGGAAATAAGTGGATGGATGAAAGGGTGGATGGGTGGACAGAGGGAGGGAGGGAATTCATGTATTGATGCATTTATTCAATGATTTATATCAATAGATTGCCTACCATGTACCAGCTGCTGGGACATTTGCTGCATCTGCATGTGGCACTTGGTAGCATCTGCTGCCATTTTCACAGTGCAGGTCACAGGAGTGACCATTTTCTTAGCTGAGGGGTCCTCAAAGGCAGCTCTGGACTTTTCTCTGTCCTTGTGACCCCAGAGCCCAGCACTGGAACCCCTGGTAAATATTGGTTGGATAGATGACGGAATGAATCCATCAACCAATCCATTGATCTAAGGAAGTCAGCTGTGACTGTTGTAGCTCTTTGAAACAAAGGAAAATCTGAAGACAATGCTAGACTTTAATGAACTGCAATTAATTATAATTAATTAATAGATAATTCAACTAGGAAAGTTCAATGCTAAATCGCACCCATTTCTACCCAGGACTTTGCTATACAAAACTTCCCAGAAATCAATTCACTTTGGGCTTTTAATAATTTTACCTTCCATTTCTCTTTCTTCAGTGAGAAGTAGGCAGAGGGGCTGGAGCCTCCAAGGGCTCCTGTGAAGCTGGGGTGACCCTGGAGGCAGGAGCTCCCCCCGGAGAAGGTCCAGCTGAACCCCTTTCCTTCACGAGACCCAGGGCTCTAAGAACCACAGAGCTTGGTTCCCTCTGCTCTGAATGATCTGGATGGTAGGCTGGCACAGTTGGGTGGCCTGCTGCCAAATCCCACTTCTGCCCCTGTCTAGCTGTGTGACCTTGGGCTACTCATTTAATGTCATTCTGAGTCCTTTGTGCCCCCTGGAAAATGAGGGTCGTCATGGGGTTTTATTACTAAACCCAGGATGTTGTGGGCTAACTGGGACGAGTTGGTCACTCTAGGCTGAACAGGTGTCGACTGAATTTAATTTGGAGACTCGTCTGACCCTTCTGCAACCCCGTGGGGCCTTCAGTTGGGGCTGGTGCTACACAAACCTTGGTGAATTGCAGGTCACACCGGGCCAGGGGTCCACAGCCCAGACACCACTGTCTGCAGTTCAACGTCTCCACGCCACCGGCATTGGTCGCCTTGATTGGGCCGAAGAATTCCAAGTTTTAATGGAATTTTCTTTTGGTTTGGATTTTTTCTCTGGAAGAACATTTGCAGCTGATTTAGCCCTGTTTTAAAATTCTGTCCGGTCGAGACGTTGTCCTGTTTTAATCTCCCTGTGCCTCTTCTCCAGCCATACACCGCAGGCCTGGACTTGGCTCTGACTGCTTACGTTTAATCCCCATGCTGCTTTTCTGCCAAGCAGATGTGTATTAGAAATGTGCATAAGAATAGAAGCAAGCTGGCCTGATTTAGAAAGTTCCTCAATTTGCACAAACTCCATTGGTATAAGAGGATTTTTCTATAAAAACCACAACAAACGTATGTTAATAGCTACTTAGATGGATCAAGACCATTTCATATTTGGTCATTTCCACCATCATCGTTCTGGCCCCAGTGCCAGAGACACAAAAACAATAGTTGAGTATTCATAGATGTGGACACATCTGCAGCACATTGCAGCTTGTTTCTTGCTTGTAGGATCTCTTGGCTCACAGGAATGAGTGACTTGAACAGCCTGTTACATGGTTTGTCCAACTTGAAGGAGTTTGTTTTATTTTTTTCTTGTCAGGTATTATATCATTTACAAGGTATTAGAAATGACTTCAACTTCCACTCAAGTCATTGGGTTTTGTGTGCATGTTTTAAAATAGTTTATTTTCAATGTGATAAAGGCATCTGAGAAACCAGCTTTCACTCACTCAGCTAAAGATATGGCCACTGGGGTACAACCATACAAAGAGAAAGGGAAAGTAAATATTATCCATTACATACATACACATGAAGGCACACACACACAATTTAATTATTTAAAACATAGTCCGAGCCCTGTTTTCTGGATTGGCTGTTCTAGATCTTTTAACAGATGGACATACCTTTTGTTACCTTTTGTGACATATACATCAACCTCAGGGTTGGAAGTTTTTAAAAATAGGACTCTTAGTGCAAGAACCTGGCAGGAAGGGCGTCCCACACATCAGGCAGACCAGTCCAGAATGGCGGGAAATAATTGGCCAGATCATGGTCAAATTCAAAGCCAGGAAAACACAGGGTCAGCAGGAGTAGGACCAGAGTAGGTAGCACAGAGGAGCAACCTGTGATTCACAATCAATCAGTGCTTGTTCTGGGTCTTGTTTACAACTTTTGGCTGCCTATAGGCAGCCAGGAAGAACCAGAAGCCGGCAGGCAAATTCTTCCTGAGTCCCAGCCAGCCGCGGAAGTTCTGGGCCCAATGGCAGAGACTGAAGCTTTCTCAAACATCCCCGCAATAAGAATATTAGATACCACTTCTAGGCTTCATTATTTCGGCCCTGAAGCAAATGAAGCATCTAAGGCCTATAGGACAGATTTAAGTTACAGGGGTTGTGTTGGGCAATCCTGTCCAGCAGGTAGGAAACATGAATTCCCGTCCTGTAGCAAACCACTTCCTCATTGACAATTGAGTTTTACTTGAGTGACAATCAGCCAACAAATAATTATAAATTTCTAAATGTATCAGTGTCACTGGGTTTATGTCCCCAAGCCATCTGATATTTTTTACTAGCTCCTCAGCTGTGTATGTATAGTATTGCCATTATTTATTACACTTGGACTTGTGGCTGGTGGGGGGTATACCTGGAATGGGGGTATGTCAACGAGTTCATTCATTGGATTTGAAGCCAAGGGACAAAGCCTTTGCTTAACTTTTTATTCATCATGGCACAAGATAGAATTTTAAGAAACACTACTGAAAATTGCCAACATGAAAAATAAGAGTAGCATGTTTTATAAAAAAAAATGATTTTTCTATAATACACATTCCCTTATGAAGTGAAAAAAAATCTCATAAAATACTGAAACGAATCGCCACCTGCTGGTCAAAAATGGTTTTGCATTTGAAAAACTACAAATTTACTGAAGTAAGGTAGGAGCATTTTACAATACACACAAAATTACCGAAGAAAACATTTCCTCAGCCTTTGGCACAATGTAAATACAAAGCTGTAGCTTTTTTCCCCAGATATGATTTACTTTACAAAGCATTGCATATAATTTGGTTAATACTGATTATGGGACAAAAGGAAAAACCATGTTCTCTAATTTGAATAGTCTATTTAGATTCTCAATCACTTTATAGTTGGATTCCAGTTTGTAGTTTTGAAAAATACATAACAATTACACATCATAAATATATATTATATATGGTCTATATAAAATTGAATTTGACCTAAAATGGGAAGGACAACTTCTTAATTCTTCTTCTTTTGTTAGGCGCGGCCTTTCTCTTGTTTGATTAACTGAATCCTTTCTAAACAGATTCTAAAAATATATTCCATAATGTATCAAATTTAATATCATCCTAAAACATTCAATATGAAAAAGCACTCAGTGTCTATTTTTTTTCTGTATCTCATTACTATATAAAAATACGGCTTCTCATATTCTGTTTAGTGTTTTTCTTAGGCATTGAAGGGCTGTACCCCTTTAAAAAAACTATGGCAAAAGCACAGAAACCCGCTTGTGCATATTCTAGAACATTCTATAGAATCTCATTACTTAGTATAAGTGAAGTGATTTAAAATATTGTTCGTTTTCTGTGAATATATCATATACGATTATTATACATAATCTGTTACAGAATATACAATACTCAAAACTGAAGACACATAAATACAATTAAACTACACCAAAGCAAGAATTTTATCTTATACAGAGCCAACGTGAGTAGTTTTTAGATTGGATATTGTCATCTGTTTATACTTATTTTGTATATTCCTAAGGCTGGCTATGCAATAGAATCTTATTAATGGCAAGGATACTAGTGCTCTATTATCTTTAGGTGAACTGGGCTTCTCTTGTGTTATTTTTTAGAAGTGTAAAAGAAGGAAAAGAAGTAACTGTCCAATTGCCTAATACCAATTTTTTCCCCTACTGAGTGAAAGAAGGCTGTTTGGAACGTGAGGCTCAAGCTGGGCGTGGGCTCATACCAGTGTTTCTGGGAGGGCATCGGGGTTGTCAGTGGACAAGAGCTCCCAGATTTGCCACCGCTCTCTCTGCCAATCGAGCCAGTTGGTTTCACCCAAGGCCTTACTGTTCTGATCGCTGGCGGGACTGGAGCAGGCACTGCTCAGTTTGGGCTGGGTGGCCTGATGCTCTTGCTCAGCTGTTTGGCCTCCCTCTTCCAAAGCTGATGATCCTGAGCCTTCTTCTGGCCTCTGACGCCTCCACAACGGTGGCTCTGTGGGCTGGTGAGCTGATGCTAAAGCTTGCTTCCCTGGACCAGGATATGGAGGAGGAGGCCTCGTGTCGTGCCTCGCACTCTCCCCAGGTCTCTGGTGCCAAGGCTTGGCTCGGCTCTGCAGCCAGGCCATATCCAGCTCACTCTTGGTGAGGTCTTCGGCACTGCTCAGAGTCAAATACGGCTCTGACCTTGGTGTGGCCAGCTCCGATCTGCTGCCGCCCTGGATGTGGGACGTGCTGCAGACGCGGGACACAGGAGGATGGGCCCTGCACTCCGCGATGGTGGCCGTGGTCTGAGTCCTCCGAATGACCTGTGTACCACTGTCCAGTTCTGTGGGGCTCCCTTGCCACCGAGGCCAGTTTGGGGACAGGTTCCCTTGAGAAAGGGAGCATGGCCCCGGTCGTAGGGAGCTGCTTTCAAAAATGTCTCCATAGGAACCTGGAAGCCAGAGAGAAGTGCAAAAATGGAATTAGTGTGTAGAATCACTATTGGGGTGTCTTGTTATTTCCTTCCCAATGCCAGATTCAAAAATTGGAAAAGCACAGGACACTGTTAGCTGCCACTGCCTAAAGTAAGACTTCCCAGGAAAAGAAATGACAAATACTGTTTGATTTGGGGCATGATTCATGTAGCAGCTACAAAGACAGATGCCTAGACTCTGACAGGTTAGCTATCAAAGGAGATTAAATCGTCCTTATCACTAACTGACGTTTCAGGAAAGGCCCCTTCTACGTGGGTACGAACACTTCACTTCTCTGAGGACACAAGGTGAAGGACGCGTTCCCTTCCTGCTCAGTGCAATTTGCGATTCAGAGGAGACACAAATTATAGAGTTTTCAGGTTTCTATAGCATCAATAAAAGCCTTAGGAATAAATGAATTGAACCTAAAATGCCCCGTTTGGAGCCAGAAGGTAATGAAGACAGGAGTGCTGTGTATAGTCCATCACCACCACATCCCCCCCTTTCCTTCCTGAACGACATTTTCCTGCTTCCCTGGCCGTTAAGAGGGCCACATAAGTGAGGTCTGACCAACGAATGTGGAAAGATGTGATGTGCCATTTCTATGCCTGGTCTAATCTAATAAAAAAACAAATGTATTCCTCGTCTTTCTTGTTTCTCCCTCAACTACTCGCCCAGGATGGAGAAACCATGGAAGACTCCAAGGCCTCTGAGAATGGGCAGCCACCAGCTAGATGGAACCTGAGCCCCTGAACGGCCACGTGGAACAGACCACTCCCACCCCTCCTCACTCTGCACAGCCCTCACTGGACACTGATGTGAGGGCGAAATCAGCCTGTGATGGGTCAAGCCGCTGACACGTAGGAGCTGTTTGCAACAGCAGTTAGCCTTCCCCAACTGATACAACTTTCTGCAGGAAACCGAAGGGCGAACACAACAGTGCATTTCACACGCACACGAGGAGCCCTATGTCCCGATACTGCCTTCTTCCTGTGGATCTGCCCTGTTCTCTCATGTCTTAAAAAGTCGGCAGGGAAAAAGAAACCAAGATCAATTTAGGAGGAGAGGGGGATGGAAGCATTTACACAAGGACAGCTCAGAGTTGAAACAGCAGAAGGAAAATGGGGCAGAACATCTCAGAAGAGTTAATCCTGAGCGGGAAAGGCAGAAAAGCCTTCATAAGATTAAGACACAATGAGACGTAGCTAGAGAATGGATCAGTACTAAAATCAGCCGCATTACAGGCCGTTAAATTAAAAATGCACTGTGCTTTAAAAATATGGGAGCTATTGCAAAATAATGAGAACCCAACTATATATGTATATTTTTTGGCACAATAAAACAAAACAATTTATACACTTCATGCTATATATTAACATATATTTCAGATGGATTAATGAATTAAGGTTAAACAAAGGAAATCTTTTCAATGAGAAAAGCGTATAGATGACTTTGCAATGTTTAAGTAAAGATTAATTTAGAGAAAGAATTCACAAAAGAGATAGTGATAGACTTACTTATGTAAAACATAAAAAACATTCTAGATATCCAAAGCAGGAAAAAAAATCACGGGATAATATAAGTGGCAAACAATATGGACAGACGGTTAACATCTTTATTATAGTAAGAGTTCATAAGATCAATTTTAAAAGCACTAGCATACCTCAATAGCAATCATATAAATGACAATTCAATGGGGGAAATTCAGCTAATGGATAGAAAAACTGAAAAATACTGGTAAGAAATACAAATGAAAATATAAATACAATTTTGGTTTTTAAATTAGCAAAGATGCAAATGCCTTATCTCCCCCACCCCATTTTCAGCGTTTTCCAAATAATTTTTGACAAGCATGTAATATGATGATAATAGGGCAAAAATTAAAGGAAATTAATTTTAAAAGTAAATGCAATAAGTGGTCCTTTAAAAATAATACTTCACCTGTCATTCCTGGGTCTTTGGATCCACTTTTTAATGTTGAATGCCAAGTTCCCCAGATATTGAAAGGTTCCTCTGACATATCTGGGGAAAAGTGGGTTAAAAAGTTATGTAACTCACAATGAAAACTGAACAGCAAAAATCAGTGCCCAAATATTTTTATAACATTCTCTTCTGTGCAAAGTGCTGTACTCGAGATTGTGGGGGATACAAGGCAGAATAAGGCAGATCCGCCTTTCAGGAGGCTTATTCCACTTGGGGTTTACCAAAAAGGCTCTTTCCAAATTACGGGGGTGAATGACAGAATGAGGGCCCCCCCAAAGATGTCGGCATGATGATCCCCAGAACCTGTAAAGATGTCATATTCAAAAGGGACTTTGCAGTGTGATTCAGTTATGGATGTTGAGATGAGGGAAGATCCTGGATTATCTGGGTGGGCCCCATGTCAACACAAGGGTCCTTATAAAACAGAGGCAGGAGGGAAGATGTGATGTTGAGCAGCATCCCTGACCTCCACCCTCTAGATGTCAGAAGCAAACCCTGCCCAAGTTGTGACAAGCAAAAATGCAACCGGACATTGTCACATGTCCCCCAGGGGGCAAAATTGAGAACCACAGTGCTAGAGTTTGCTAAGATATTGAATGGATGGAAAGAGTTAATGGGTGCCTTAGTCTATCCGCTAATCAGTTAGAGCTAATATGTGCCTTAGCCTATCTGTGTTTAGAAACCTGAATATGCCATGCCTCTCATAATAGTAAAATTCTCTTCAGACTGCCTTTTTTGTTTTTGCTGCAGAGAATATTACATATAGAAAACTTGCCACTAATTTAAAAGGGCAACAATTAGAGATCATTTATACACATCAGAGAGGGGAGAGTTAAAAGTTTATGAGGGCTGGCTGAACGGCTCAGTTGGTTAAGAACTCGCTCAAGAGCAACAGCAGTTCGTGTCCCGGCCCGAGCTGATCTGCAGCTGAGCTGCCAACAGGTGGCAGGATGGCTCAGCTAAAAAAAAAAAAATTATGATACGTCAATTTAATGGAAACATATTGTGGCCACAAAAAATGTTAGCAAATGGAAAATGCTAATGCTATGATTTTAAGAAAATAAGCTTAGTTCAAAATTAGCTATACTATGAAAACAAATACTGAGAGTGCCAAAAAAATGTATAACATGACTTGTATTCACCTTTTGTTATCGGTATATGTTGAGTATTACAACTTTAATACAGTGTTTTCCTTTCTTAAAATGTGTATACATCTTTTTGGCACCCTCTGTATATAAAGTTATGTACGCATATGAACATGAACAAGAGCTAGGAAAAATAAAGTTTTACATTCTAAAAATAAATTTAATGCGTGATGGGAACAAGGGTTACTGCTTTCATTGTAAATTTTTTAAATTATTTTTTGACACAAATATTCATAAAATAAAAATCAAGAGGCTATGATTTAAACACACACATACACACACACACAGAGCTCCAGAATAAATTATAAACTTAAGATAAAACAGCAAGAATTTGTACTGTGTCTTCCAATTATGACTTGAGTCCTGGCCCTGGGGAATTACTCTGTGGAGGGAAAGAACACAACCAAACATTTGGTGTTTGAATAAATGTGGGAAAAGCTGCAAGCCACACCCTTTCTCCCATTGTGGAAACTGAATGGTGACCATTAGTGCATTAGAGTTTGAGAAATTGTACAACAGAGAAACCATTAGCTTGGTTAACTTAGCATTTCCCAAATGTTTTTGACCATGGAACCCTTATTTTGCCTGAAAATCTTAATCTCCCTGGAGACCTTTTCCGGAACATGATGTCTTGTTATATAGTAGGTTCAGCTTGTTCTCTTTATAAAAGTAATAGCAATAACTGGATGACATCTTAGACTAACAAATATGCACCCAAATTCACTGGCCAGGACACATAAAGTTCCTGGGATGCTGGAAGGAAGAGTCAGCTGGGAATATCAGTGGCTCTCTGGCTTCAGACTGCTTCCCAGATACCTGTGTCTGTGGGGGCCCTCCAAGATGACGACTGGGCTCACTACAGTCATCCTACAGTAAGCTTTCAGTAGGTACTCAGGAATGCTCTCTGAACCACAGAAACAAACCTAGGAAGGGATGAAGAGAACGTGCAAAGCGCCCACATCGCGCCACATGCAACGAGTCACAGATTTGGCCAGCACCAGCCAGGCTCCAGTTACCTTTTCCAAGTCTTGGTCCAGTGGAACTCTCTCTTGACTTCAACGATGGCAAGTGGCTCACCAGCATATACTGCTCTGTCCCTTTGTAAAGCTTCTCCGAGCCCCCCCGGGCCGCGTCCTCTTGCATAGCCAGCAGGGAGCGCTCAGATAGCACTGGGGAGTTATTGTCATAAGGGGAGAGGTCTCCGCTGGAGGCCTTGTTGGAGTCTGTAGAAGAGTGCCTTCCTCCCACCGAAAAGGAAACTTCCGACCGCAGCATGTCAGGGCTTCTGGCACAAGGAGACAATTACAGGTGCGTGAGCATGCTAACAATTATTGACCAGGTTCAAACAATGTGACCATTACACAAATGACAGGAGAATGCATGGACACGGGCTGAAACAAAAAGACCTTTTGAGCAATGTTCCAAGACTTCTACATCAATACAGTGAAAGCGTTTCCAAAAATAGCCAGCAGATGGCAGCAAAACTCAACAGATGTTACTGGCAATGTCAAGGCCAAGGGAGAGGGGAGGGTGAAACAGACATGGATCCCTGTATTTTCCAATGTGCCTCGCTGAAATGCCTTTTGGATGAACCCGTTTTCATTTCACAGTTAAAAGTCTGAACTCCTATGGAAGGTTTCTCAAAAACTATGAAAAATGGAAGAAAAGACTGAAAATATCAGAAAGAAACAGAAGCTTCTAGTCAAAGAGAAAAGACGATTCTGTTCGGGGCAAGAACAAAATGTACTCCTTGGAGACTTTTAAAAGGGACTGACACCCTGTCGAAAATATGATGTGAAGAAAGGCTTTACAAAGTTAGAAGTGTCTGAAAAGAGAACCGAGTCCTGGGGGAACTATGGGGAGGGATACACACATGCGAAAAGGAAAAAGGTCATCGCTGGGCATTGATTATAAAGGAGTGACAAAGAACAAAAGACCAAAATGTCATTACAGTAATACCTCAGTTTGCGAGCATAATTCGTTCCGGAAACAAACTACGCGTATTGCAAGACATCACTCGTTTACCAAGTTAAAATGGATTAGAAACGTTTGCTCGTCTTGCGGAACACTTGCAAACCACGTTACTCGCAATCTAAGGTTTTACTGTATTTTGGTTAACCAAACATATGTATGACCACATGTGTGGGAGCGTGTGCTCATAAACACAGGCAAATCAGAGAAGATCCTGCATATTTGGTTACAACAATAACATGGAATTCAGAAATTACCTGAATTTAGCAGAATATATTCAGGGCATTTCAGACATTTAATTTAACAGGAAATAACTTTGGATTCACATTTGATGTCTTTAAAATATAGCACTTCATTTACTAAACACAGGTAGCAACCATCAATGATTCTGAATTTAAGAGATTCATTTAAGTAAACGTTTATATTTTTAAATGCAGCTTGATCTTATTAAAGTAGTAGCAACTGATTGAGTAAATTGATTGTGGTGATTATTTTGTCATTATTTTGATATCAGAGTGATTCTTTCTGGCCATGGGATGCCATTCAGTGAAACAAGATTCTAATCACTGTATTATCCCCGAACATTGATGGAAAAGTGGCCCCGATTTTAGTTTTAAGGACGTATTTTGCTTGTGGCACCAATTGAAATATGTATTTCCTGTGGGACTAACACTCGTGGGACTATTTGGAAAAGTCTACTTCAGATTGTACATACCCCAGTACATGACTGTATGTTTCATGTGTGCAAATAAAGATACTTTTGTGGCTGTGAAAATAAATTAAAGCCGGATGCTCATTATCTGTTAAGAAAAACTGGTAGATAATTTTCTGACTATCCTCAATATCCTGAATTAAAAATAATTCAGATAAAACTATGCTTGAAACTTAGTGTGAAGCTCAGTGTGGCTTTGTGCACAACTTTTCTTCCCCCACCCAAACTCTCAGTGTAAATAAACCCATCCTTCCTGTGACGATGATAACGACAATGATGCTACTGGTGGGAGCAACTGTTTCACATATAAGATGGTTGAAGAGATGAACACATCACCATAAGTAGTGGCCACTGTACTTAAATGCATCTAAAATGATTCTACAAGGCACTAGTATTTTCACAAATTGTTATAAAACATACTAATATCTGTTATGTGGTATACGTGCATGGGTTGTCACAGCAACAGAAATCACAGTGAAAATGTGAGTGGAACAGGAAAACGAGAATGTCAGGAGCATGAGAAGAGTGTTCAAAGTCTTACCTGTGAACACCTGTGCTTCCTACCTTCCTCAAAATAGTGGCCCTGACATCTTAAAGGGAAATGATGACAGATTGAATAAAAGTTCCCGAACCCGCTTCTGTTCCCGCCCCCTACTTCTCTTTACTAATCTTTGCTTTCTTTTGGTTTAATTTTTCAAAACAAATCCTTTGTGATCTTACAGAAGGTAAACACGTTTGAGCGATCCTTTGCTAACCAAATGGTTTTGAGCATGCAACATGGAGGAAGTGTGCTCACAGGGGATCTTGCTTCCTCTCGGGTTTCCAGCAGGGCTTCAAGTCCAGGAGGCAAGCATCTCAGCATGTGACATGCCTCGCTGGTCAAGGAGGCAGCTGGGGGAATTTCTTAGCCACATGGAGTAAATAAGGCCTTTCCTTGCCTCCTCTTTAAACTGATGACAGATAATCTTATGGGAAAGGGCCAAAGGACAACCATGACGATAAATTTTCCAGAAACTTTAGGCCTCCAGTGACTGAAGAAAAAAAATAAAAGGATCGTACTACTTCTGCTGGAAAGTGGGGGGCGAGGGGGAAACATCCTCTACAGCTAATTAAAGCGGGGAGGTCTGCCTAATTTTAGTGGCGGGAACACAAAACAAAACAAATGGACACTTGTCTGTCATCATGGGCCCAACTCTGGTTGAGGAAACTTTACTATTAGAATGAGCAAGATTGAATGTGGTGAACTGGTAGCTTCGTGAAGCTCAGCTCAGAATCAGGGTTCTATGTTCTTTCTGACCAGGGTTAAAAATTATATTACCGGGCTAATTTCAGTTGTTCTTCCTGTTTAGTTGACACTTTTCTAGTCATTAATGAATCTCTCTTACAAAACATACAGAAGAAAATACCTTCAACAAAATCCTCTAAGTTACAGATTCAGTCAACAGTGAGGTGCATAAAGAAACATACTCTACAGAAGAAATTTATCTTAAGTCTCAGTACTAGGGACATTTGGGTTTCTACCAAGCAAGTAAGTTATTTTGACCCTATAGAGCCATGCATCATGTAATAATAATGCATCTCTCTTGACAATGGTTGCTTAAAGGCTCCAAGGAATTGGGGCTCCTGGCATGCCTTTGTGTGTTTCACACCCCAACTTCATCGTATCTTCTCACTCTTTCCACTGTTTTCCTGTCCCCAGTCTCTCAAATTACTACAATATTGTCCCACTTGTCGTATTTTTTGCAAGCTGCTTCAGTAAATTGTTTTTTTTGGACTGATATTCAGACAGGGAAATCACACCCACATTAATTGTTGGGGTATTGAAAAGGCAGTATGCTTCATGGGAACATTTAGTTTGGTTCAAACAAAACGAAATAAAACAGGAATTATAACAACAAAAGCAAAAATAACTGAAGCTGCCACACTATTTCTTCCTCCATTGGCATGGCTCTGACTGCATCTGACCAAGTAGAACTGAGAGAGGAGGAGGTGGAGAGCCTGTGGCCCTCTCCTCTGCTCTGTGGGCTGACTCTGCATAGCTCCCTCAGTGGCTCTGCCGCGGCAGCATCCACCTCACCAGGGGACTTGTTGGAAATGCAAAAGTCTCAAGCTCCATTTTGGGCCCACTGACAGACCTGGCTATAACACATGGGGCCCAGGGCAAAATGAACATGCGGGGCCCTCACGTTAAAAAATTATTAAGAATTTCAAGATGGTGACAGATCATTAAGCCCAACATGGGCTGCTTCTGAGGGTGGGGTCCTGTGCGACAGACAGACTGCAGCCCATGAAGCTGGCTTGGCCACTGAAAGGGACTCTCTGGGAGTGGGGCTAGCAAAGCAGATTTTTCAAAGCCCTCCAGGTCATTTTGATGCGTGGGAAGCTCTGATACCAAACCTACCTTCCCTCCCTCAGTCCACACATGTGACAGTGGGCTAAGGAGGTACTGACAGTCAAATCAGACGGAAGAGCACAGACAACGGCCAAAACCTCAGCACTGGCTGGCAGTGCGGGTAAATGTGGCGGTCATGACGTTGAGGTGGTTGGGGACACAGCTGAGTGAAGAAGAGAGAGTGTGCTCATCCCAGTTAGCTCGTCAGCAGGATCCAGTTAACTGAATACAGTTGGTTATGGATCAAGTTAAGGTGAGGGCGGCAGGCGAGGCCAACCTGCCTTTCTCTGCTTCTCTGGTCCATTCTCCTAAAGTCAAGCCACCAATGACCACAGCTGGGGCCTGAATCGGGGGAGAAACTGGGGGCAGTGGCTAAAGCTAAATGCTGGACACAGACCTGAATGAGGTGTCTCTCAGTCAACACAGGCCATGAACCTCCTCAGGGTGGCCGGGTCACAGCCAGGGGCACGGGCAGATGGGGCCGTCTAATGAGAGGTGATGCCTTCCTTTCCCAGCCACCCAACGTATCTTGGTGATGAAAGGGGATATAGTTTGAGTATACATGGCAAGCAGCTTGTGAAATCCACTTATGTGGAATAACCCCTTGGTCTGTGAGAAGAGTTGAAGTTGAAGTTTATACAGAGTTCACTATGGCAGGCATGGGACTAAGCTACTGCAAACAACTCTCCTGTTCCCGATCACAGTCTCAAGATGAGCGAAAGAAACCAGGAGATGACTAAGGAACATGTCTTTCTAGCAGCAGAGGTGTAAGGGTTGAGACGCTTCTAAAATTTCTTTGATAAACAGTATTGAGTATTACTAAAAATCAATAGTTACGTGTTATATTTTATACTTAGAGTCGATGGCCCTTTTAAATGTTTAAACTATCTCCTATCTATCATTTTATTTTCTTAGCAGAGATCAGTAAGGTGGTGGCCAAATTTGCCTAAGAACCCATAATCCAAGATTTGTCTTTTCACATGAGAGTCCACCAATTAATAACAAAACTATTTCATTCACTTCTCAGGACTCTCACTATAAGATGGGCAGTTCTGAGTTTTAAGACATTTTTATGTCACTCCAGTGCTTTATCTTTAAATCTATTGGGAACAAATTCAGGATCCCCCTTTGGGTATCTCTGACAAATAAGTCACGGTCCCCAATGTCTTTCATGTATTTATTTATACAAAATATTTACTCTGCCCAGTGA